CTGATCTCGATCTCATTTCAAATTTAAATCTGCATATATCACGTTACACTTCACTCTTTGTGATGATATATGGAGGCATTTGGGATTAGTTTGAGTGATAACACATGCCAATAGCAATCATGCATTGGCAAAAGCTGTCGATGGCTCCCTCTTTTGATGGTTGTTCAGAAGCAAGCTGATGGCGCTGTTGAGCTGGGCCTTGGAGGTCTTATCTATTGGCTTGGTACTTCGGTGCCTCCTCGGATCGGTTTGGCTGGGTCGTCGATTCCTTGGTGATGATTCGGACTAGGAGGGACCGCGTCCTTCGTTGATCGTTGGGGCCGCCAGCATAACGCAATGCTCCTCTAATGCAGGAGCAGCAGCCTTATATAGTCAGCTTCGCGCCATTATATATGCCTTACCTAGGGAGCAGTCATGGGTAACGGCACTATATCTTCTAGTTCAGGCCAAAAAAATCAAAATTAAGCCAAAATTAGAATTAAATTCTAGTTAAAAATTTAAAAAATCATTAAAATGAAAATTTAAGAAATTTAAAATTAAAAATAAAAATAAAAATTCAAAAGTTAAAAATACAAAAAAATTTTTGAAAAAATTTAAGCCAATATAAAAAAATTAAAAAAATTAAAATTAGCCAAAAAAATTAAACTCATTAAAATGATTAATTTCATTCGTTGAACGACCTGCTTTACCCCTTCGTTGGAGTGTTTTTGTGCTGTCGAGAACCCGGTATATATAACTGAGTAGATTAGGGGACGGTTTCCGTGATGTCATGTTAAAGACTTGTTTGTGTTACCACAAACCCACTAACTTTTTGTATTTTGAGCGTTAAAAGCAAGGTTTTCCTCCTAACGTTTGATTTAAAATGAATTTCAGGAAAAATTTCGGTTACAGTGACACAGCTTGGGATGCAACAGCAAGCGACGAAGTGGAGTTTGTGCGAAAGCGCTTGATCAGCGTTGGCTTATCGATCCAGTGTGGTTAGTAGTTTTCCTAAACTTCCGTTTTTTTGTAGAAATCTAATCAAATTGTCTTATTTTTGGGGGAAATGAGCTCGTTTTTCTCATTTTTTTGCAGTTAGTGCAAGGTCCGGTTGTAATTTTTTGTTTTTTCATTTTAGTATTTATGTAAACGTATGTATACACATACATACATACATATATACACATACATACATACATGCATACATACATACATACATACATACACACATACATACATATGTACATACATACATACATACACACATACATACAAATAAGTATTTTTAAAAAAAAAAACTTCGCACATTTGTTCGTGTATACGTTTACATAGAAACTAAAATGAATATATATGTAATTTAGAATACATTTCCAGCAAGCCTCCATTTAGCCCAAGTTACAGATATGTGCCTGAAATGGCGACATCTTGATTACGATAGATCGTTTTTGACTGCTGGCATCCCGAAGGATTGGTGTTGCGTGATGCATCCAAATGCCCTGTTCAACTATTGCTCGAAGCTGGAGGAGCTGCCCAAAATTCCCGAAGGACGTTTGATGAGAATACCTGATAAGCCGCCCAATGTTGTGAGAAGCGCTCAGAATAATGCTGGGAAAGCACGGGAACTCAGACCTCCAAAAAGGTAGGCTTTCACTGTTTTTGCTTCTGATCTAGGCTCGCATTTTGCATAATAAAGAGCAGTATGGGCCTAAAAGGCCCTGTGAGGAAGTGGAGGAAAATAGTAAGCAGAGGCCGGAACAGCAGCCCAATCAACGAAGGGTATTGAGCGGCAGGAGCCGCGCCAACCCTACGTGCAGTAGGAATAAGCAGGGATAGTTCGGTGGCCGTCCAAAATCCAACGAGGTAGTTAGGGAAGGAAAATAAAAAAAGTCCAGATTGTTGTGACGCATATTTTATATAAACTTTTTGGTGTTGTGGATCTGTCAGTTAGATCCAGGGTCAAAATCCGCTCATTGGAAAACGGGCGCTTGATGCGCTGATGATGGTATTTTGGTGTTTTCTAAAAAATTCTGGAATTCTCTTGTTATCTGGAACATATTTATACCTTCTCAACAGTTTTCTAACACGCTGAGAACAGCCAAAGGCCTGCACGGCTGTAGGACGTGCTGCTGTGGAGCTGTAGGAGGCACTCGCCCAAAAAGAATAAACAATGCTTTATTAGTTATAAAAAATAGAAAAAAAAAACCGCGGGAAAATTTGGCAGCAGCCCCAAACTGCCATTGTACAATTATTTTTAGCACAGAAAAACAATCCCTATTTCATTTCTAATCACATCAGTACATATCACAAAGGGTGAACTGGAGCCAGGAGACGGGACATTTGCATATCACATGAAATTGACGGGTAACTGGACATGGCGAAGGGAATTAGCCGTCAACTTCATTGCCTTACTGACAACCCCTTCCTTTTGCAACACAGTTCATTTCTGCTTTAGTGCTTCTCGGATTATATATAGATATCTCGACACAGTTTAGCTTGGTATTGGTTTCATCCAGTTGATATTCCTTGTTTTGTTAGTTGGTGCAGCTTGTATTTTGGTACCTCTGTTAGCGCCAAACAATTCGAGTAGTATATTTTCGCCATTTTTTTGGGGGTATTATTATCCCTTGTGCAGCCTCCCGCTTGGCGTTTGCATAAATTTCAGTGATGTCGGAGTTTCATACCTCAGTAACTATTCTTAGTATTTTTGTTAACCATGTGATGAAAAAATAAGTGCTGAAAGTGCGGGGAGAGGAACTCATTTTTCAGATTTTTGCAGAATTTTACAGACTTTCCAGAGTTTACGGAATTACAGATCATTACAGAAATTCACAGATTTTTTCGCTCTGTTATTACAGATCAAACCCAAAAAGAAAACCAGTAAAGTCACCATCTCCACCGGCAGCACATCAACGTTCACTCCCAGCACGACGAACTTCAGCACGCAAGAGTTACAAAGATCCCAGTGATTCTGAGCCAGAAAGTGAATCAACACCGGAACCAATTCCTCGAAGTGCTAGCCGGAGAAGAATTTCGGCAGCAGAACCTGAAGAGGATTTACCACGCACAAGCCAGTCTCGGGTAAGTCCATCCTAAGCTCAACAGATTGGTAAAAATTGAAAAAAAGACTTGTTTTATGTCAAAATTAGACTTCATCTGAGGCCCTCTAAACGGGCTGAGGGTGCTTTCGGCAAAATTCCCGAGGAATGGGAGACACAGGGATAAGATATACACCTGCGATGTGTAAATTAGCTATGGGCTGGTTCCCTAGCAATAGATTGACAACTTTTTTGACCACTGCTACATTGCCTAGCGGTCTTTCTAACGCTCATTTCGTCTCTTGAAAATATTATTAGCCTTAGGGTTTCC